GTGGAAGTGCCTCAGATAAGGCCATAACAGCTGACTGTGGAGTACTGCAACATCTACAACCAGGTGACATGGTCATTGCAGATAAGGGCTTCACAATTCGGGACATCCTACCAGAGGGGGTCTGACTGAACATCCCGTCCTTCCTCACCAACGGACAATTCACACAGGAGGAAGTGAACAGCAGGAAGATTTCCTGTGCAAGAATACATGTAGAGCGTTCCATTCAAAGACTGAAACCTTTCTCAATTTTGCATCACATCCCACATCAGTTAAAAAAAATATTAATAAGATCTTGAAAGCATGTGTGTGTCTTACAAATTTACAAACACCTATTCTCCATGAAATTGAATGAATTATACCTGTGAGAGTTCAGAGGTAAAAGTACATTGTGTCATTTTCTAACTACTTGTGGACCAGAAAACACAACTGTTGAATAAGTTTACTGTTATTATTTATAACTTCTAAGTGTTCTGGATTCTTTTGTGTGTATACTCAGGATGTTACACCATAAAAACAACTTAGTTGCATAGTTTCAAATTGAGAATGGTCTCATTTGTGATTCGTAAAATGTTTAATTTTACTCTGTTTTTATCAATGGCTTGTTATATTTTTCACTCCATTCCAGCTTCCTTTTTCCAGTTTTCTTGCTAAACATTTTCAATTAAAATGAAGAATACCAGATACATGTCTTTTAATCTTTAAACAAATATTTTCTTTTTAATTGAGAAGGGAAAAGTTGTTTGGTGAGAATTGTCCTTAAAAATTTATTATTGCGTGTCTTTCCTTTAAATCGGCGATCATCAATAATTAAGGACGGTTCACGAATTATAGAGGAAGAATCGGTTAAACTGGCTTTAGCCATCTGAATCATTGCAGGGGGAATGGCCTTCACAACTTTAATGAATTTACTTTGAGTACATGATAAGCCATAATTATCTATGAATTTGTTATATGTTAACACATTTAAGTCATTGTCTAAAAGGTGTAAAACCGTCCAAGTTCCATGACCCATCCAGTCCTTATAAAAGATGGATTTTTTTTCTATCAATACACATCTGTTGTTCCAAATCGAATTTGTATGTGGAGAAAAATTATGCTTGTAAATCATTTTCCAGTACTGGAGAACCTGTTTATGAAAATTGGATAATTTAATTGGTAATTTGGAAATTTCAAAGTCACACTTTAAGAGAAATTCAATGCCACCAAGCTTCTCAAAGATTACTTTGGGGAAATAAAACCAAATACTGTTTGAGTTATTTATGAAAGACTGCAACCAATAGAGTTTGATGGAACCATCATTGCTTCAAAATAAATCGCATTCAAACCTCCTTCTTCAAATGACTTCACTACATCATTCTTCCTAACATAATGTTGCTTCTTTCTCCAAATGTAATTAATGTTAATGTGATTTATATAGATTAATAGAGAGATTAAATCTATGAATTTTTTACCAAAACCGTTTCTCCAGATTGTAGAAATATGAAGCACTTTTTCACCTTCTTCTTTCCATTTTGCACGAGCTCTAATGTAAGCTCCATGAGCCTTTTTCTTGTATAGATCATCTAATTGAGCCTGTAAAGACAAAAGGGATTTCTTATCAGCCTCTGACATAAACTGTCTATTACAATAGTTATTTATATTGTAAAGTAATTTACTTTCAAATTCCTTCTGTTGTCTACTTTTCATTTTACTTTACACTACTTTACAACTGCTTAGTTCGCCATCCTGCCGGCCCCACGCTTCCAGCTTTATTTGTGAAGAGCACAGCAGCTTACAAAACACGTAGCGAGCTCGTACAGCTGCTTTCATAAACTAAGATGACCTTAAAATAACGGAGCTATGTGCGGTGATGCTAGCGTTAGCCATGTTAGCATGTTACCATCAAAAACGATTTAAATAAAATAATCAGAAAACATCAGTGACCAAAAAGATGCTTTCAGCTTTTTATGTTCATCAGCAGTGTTGGTCAAGTTACTTGAAAAAAGTAATCAGTAACTAATTACTGATTACTTCCCCAAAAAAGTAATCCCGTTACTTTACTGATTACTTATTTTCAA